TGAATAAAAACACACTTTTTTTAATGGATCCAGCGAGTGCTAGCTCTAGACTATTAACCTACTGATTTTTACCATTAAAGAAAAAAAAGTGGGGGCTACTTTTTTTTTGGTTTTTAATTTTTTTTTAATACTTGCAGAGTGGTGCTAGCTATGAGACTAGTGGTGCTAGCTGGTGCTAGGTCTAAACTACCTCGGACCAACTTTTCATGAGAATTAAATAATGTCGGGGGGCTAGCGTTAACTTGCCCCCCCCCGAAAGTAAAAGGCTTTTATTTCAATAATTAGGTGGTGCTAGCTTTTTGATTGGTGGTGCTAGCTGGTGCTAGGTTAGAACAACGAGGTGCTAGCTTTTGAGTAAAATTCATTAACTTGGTGGTGCCAAGTTAACGGACCCTCAATGTACGACTTGTAAGCCTTGGTAATTAAAGATTTAATTTTAGAACGATAAGATTTAAATAAATCGAGATAATATTGTGATCGATACATTTTAAATTTAGTACGATAGGTGGACTTTTTACGAATTGCTTCAATAATTTCTGAAGTGAACCATGGTGGATAACTGTGGTAACGTTTGACATTCACCTGTGGAACATATTTTCCAAATAGGTTCACCAATACATCGTAAAAACTGTCGCAAGCATCTTCAACATCGGTTTTATCTTTTAAAAAAGACCAGTTAACTGTACAAAGAGATTGATAAAGAAGGGGAAAATTAGCTTTCCTGAAGTTAAGAGACTGCGAAATCTTGGAGCGAGGAAAGTATTTAAGAGTTTTGTTTTTAACTTCAAAAGAAATATCAAGAGATGGATGGTATCTATCTTCACTAACAATACAAGATGACGAGATTTCAACAGAACATTTTAGATTAGAATAAACTAAATCAAGGATGGAGCCAAAACTGTTTGGACATCTGTTGTATTGAGTAAGGTTGAGGAATTTACTAAAAGTGTCAACTTTTAAGGCGTACCGATTAAGTGGATTAACATTTAGTGATGGCGTATTGAAGTCACCAATGATTATAATATCATCTTCACAGTTACCGTAAAGGTTTGAAAAAAGATCAAAAAAAAGATTAAAATCATTGAAGGAATTTGAGGGAGGAATATATATTACGAATATAAGTAGTTTAGTGTTGTTCGAATTAATTATACATGCTCCAAATAAGTCAATAGTAGGGACAGTAGATGTAATGATAGATAGATCTAAAGAAGTTGATACAATCGAGTTACGAATAGATAAAAGAACTCCACCACCTCGAGATACTGATAACGATTCAAAATTACGATCGCTACGGTAAACCACGTAGTTATTTGAAATTAACTCACTACTGGATATATCATCTGACAGCCACGTTTCGCTGAGTGCGATAATATCATAATTACAAATAGAAGTTGCATTATAAGTTTCCTGAATCTTGGTCCGTAAGCCACGCACATTTTGGTAAATACAAGAAATTGAAGTACTATAATTGGGTAAACGGTTCAGTTTAAATTCACGATCTTAGGTGAACCATTGAAATAACGTATCCTTAGGTTACCTTCCCCGTTTTTTGTACGGACAGCTAGCTCCTCTTTAAGCTGTTTGTAGTGAGATATTTGTCGAGGTGTGCGGTCCGAAGAAAGAGATAAATTTTTGTAACAGTCATTGTTCTTGAGGACTTTAGCAGTACGTAACAAGTTTAGTACGTCTAACTCACTATTAAGTGTAACTCTTAAAGGTCTGGGCCGAAGACTGCCCTCAACAAATCGACCAAGGCGCTGGATCTTTAAATTTACATTATTATAATTGGGATCAATTGTGGAAAGTATATTATTAACGGAAGACTTATCTTTCTCAGACTGTCTCACGATTAAATGTTCCTTAGGGCCGCTATCAGTGATAGAGTCTTGACGTTCTTCATCAACACCGAAAATTATTAAATTAACTTTCCTCTTTTGCCGTTCAGTGAATTCCTGGATAACCTCTTCAAATTGCACATCTTTGGGTTGTACAGTCGGCAAGCTGGATTTCAGCTCGTTGATTTGAGTTTGATGATCTTCTTTGATCTTATTAATATTAGTAGTTATTTGCTCTTGAAATGCGGTTATTAGAGTTTTAATATCTTATATATATACATAATAAACAAACACAAAAATATCCAATCATCGCTCCGAGGAAAAAGCGTCTCGGGGATGTAAATTCCAAAATCGTTGCGAGGAAAAAGCGTCTCGGTGATGTAAATTCCAAAATCGTTGCGAGGAAAAAGCGTCTCGGTAACGTAAATTTTCTGTAGCGTTGGGGCCATGCCTTGATTAATCAATCAATCTGGCATCGTGAAGCATGCCCCGATGAATTAATCGTGATAACGATGATAACCACCTAAGGGGAGAAAATATCATAACCCCCCCGCCAGTCCGCAGTATAATGAACTTGTTTAACTGCCGTAAATGAACTATTAGCAATCTTGTGTGAAGAATTTAGAAGTGTTATAATGTAACACTTACGCATATGCATCCAGAGACCTATTCGTAATTAAACACAAGGTGTTTTTCCTGACTAAGTGAATTTCATGAAATCTTCTAGCAAATGGTTTACTTAAATAATCCTGATTGTTAAATTGTGTTTGCTCTAGCGGAGTATTAAGAAAAACTAACTTGATTGGTGAATTTACCAACAAAGAAACAAATTTACAGCACGTGTTCACGTTCAACCGGAAGTCCGCATTTCTGATTAAAAGGACGCAAGAATTAACCGCGCGGGTTGGGGACAACTGTATCATTATGAAAAATACGTTTGATCGTCGTTAAACAAAGGCTTCCTCCCGTTTTAATAACTACCAAACCAACTAATTTAAACCTAGTTCTTACCACGTGGTTACACACACACAGCCACATTCGTAATCACCTACCATGCCGTTTCTCTACCAACCCTCTAACTGAAATTACCCTAGCGCTACGTGCTGCCATCTAACCCAAAGATCATGCAAACTAACCCCTAAGCGCTACGTGCATTAGACCATCCATGCATATCTGGTTGCCTATGTTTAAGGATTTCCCTTTTGTGATTGAACTCTTTTTTTTTTCAAATTAAAATTATTCAAATGTGATTTCGCGCCGCTGTCAATTAATTTCAGCGCGAAAACTTTGATTTAAATTCGGTCACCACAATACCTATATATTTATATTAAAAAATGTTTGACACTTGTCTTAAAACTTTATTAATGTATTGTTTGTATAGGTAAAGGAAACCAGACAAGTGATAATTTAGAGCAATGGGCCGCTGCCAAAGAACTTGTCGAACTAAGTCGAAAGGAATACATCCAAAAGGAGCAAGAGTTTAAATTAAAAGCCATGAAAGAGAAACATGAACTAGAAACGCAAATTATGAGAGACAAAGCTGCACTTGAATTAGAAGTAATAAAGCAGAACACCAAATGAAGATTGAAATATTTATTGCCCAAAAATTTAATATTTTCAATAATAAAACTTAAATAAATAATTACATTACATTTTATTATTTACTGCAACTAAAAACGAAATCAAAAAAAGCAAATTAGTAAAATATTTTCTGATGAACTGGTTCCGTACAAAATTGTTCTGATTATAATTGCCACTATATTCTCCAATGTTTTCAATTAGAACATCGTTCACAAAATTCACTGCTGCTTCTATCTTCTGTGTCCACTGGCGGTTCTTCTTCATTTAAAATAATTGCAATGTTGTGTAAAACTGCTGTTGCCACAACCACTGCCTCTACTTTACACATTTTTAAACGAATTCCAAAAGCCAATGCTGGACAGCGTCTTTTCCACACCCCAAAACATTAATTATTTGAGAAGCTGTTGCTTTACTAATCCCTATAAAGTCACCAGCAACTTGCAGAAAAGATCCAGTGGCAAGGAAACGTGAAATCACAAGTAGCATTTGCTCCGGTGATACTGCATGATTTCTTTCCGTTCGCGATGTAATTTGCTCCTGTATTTGTTGCAAAATAAACCGTACGCCAGTCTTGGAAAAACGAAATCGTTTCAAAAATTCCCCAGCATTTCACTGTTCAAAGTGATTTTCTCTCAACTGAAAAACTTTTGGTCGTCGCATACGTGCCGGTTATAATATGTTTATCACTTCTAAAACGTCTTCATCGTCAGTTAATACTCCTAATTAATTTTCCATCTTCAATTATAATGCTGTCACACCACCAAAACGATAAAGCACAGACATTTGAGGTTATGGACAGTTGAGCGAAGCTTAAACCACCCTGACATCAGCGCTCAGCTGAGCCTTCGTTTGAGCGCGGTTTAAGAGGAGTCCCCAGCAAAAGTAACGGTAAAATCCGTTTGAGTCTGAGAAGCTGTCAGTAGTGTAACCACCTACCCTGGGTGTCGTATAATCATTTAGATAATTTACAATATTGCCTGCTCCCGATCTCAGCTTTCGTATTCTGGCCAAGTAAATTTTATTTCATCTAGTCTGTGCTCCGAAATTTCTGGCAGCCGAATAGATTATTGTATAATAAATAAATAAATAAATAAAAACAATAAATAATTAATTCTAACTTTCTGCGTTGTTAAACGTAAAAATAAACACAAATAGGTAGATAACATATATTTGAAAACATAATAATTACAAAATTCATGTTTGATTTGACGTTTTCGTGGATTTTTTGCAGCAAAAATGTTTATGAGAGTGGAAACATTATTTTAAAGGCATTTTGTCAAAATGTACTCTATTTCGACTAATTTATTACGAAAGAAGTTATCCGCTTATTAAAAAAAGGAACAAAGAGCGCCTAAGATAAATAAAATAAATAATGCAACACAAAGGAGCGAAAATATTGAATTTTATTTTTATTTTTTTAGTAAAAGTGTAATACTTTGAACAGCAATAATAATAATATATGTATAATATAAAAATATATATAAAATTAGTCCTACAAATTATACAAAAATAAAATAAAAAAATACTCAATCAATTTTTGTACAAAAGAGAATGATTGTAGAAAATAGTACAATCCGCCGTTGAATAAATATCAGAATTAACTATAACATTCTAGATCCATATGCATGATAACAATCTGTTCATAAACAGAATATCTGATGTCAATTATTCGATTCCCTTCTATGGCATCTAAAAATGCAATAATGTAAAATTAATTGTTGGATATTTCTTTTACACTTACCATTACAAAACATTGTTTCACTGTTTATGTTTTGATTCGATGAAGAAGCCATTCCTTCTTGTTGCAAACCACCATCACTAACGCTGGAAGTACCAGCGACAGTAATGTTGTTGCAATCATTGAAATTCTGAGTGCCGATATTTGAGGAGACATCATCATGTATAGAAATAGAGTCTAACGTTGTTTCCGTCTCAGCAACTTCTTGTTTTTTCTAGAATAGATTTGTGGGATATTTTGAAATTCCAGTACATAACTCATTTAATTACCTTGAGCCAATAATTTTGCAACACCTTAATATTGCCTCTTTTTTTCCTGTATCCATATGGCTTCTGTACTTTTACCATTTTCGACTGAAATGTTGAAAAAATTATATAAGAGTTAATTAATTAATTAAGCAATATATTTTATTCTTTGTCTGTAGGCATACGAATTCTTCTAATGATAGTTTTCTTACTAACATCCAACGTAATGTTAAAAAATTGTTGTATTTTATCATTTTAACAAAAATTAATGTCTATAAACTTACCTGGTTAAAACACTAAATACGAATCTTTTTATATCAAAAGTTCTCTTAAAAACGCAAAACGCAAAACACTTGTCACTCTGTAGCACACAACGGCACGAAGCTAAAGCAAAACTAAAAATTTAAATTTTTGTTGCAGTAGGTACACCTAGGGATAATTTGCCAGGTAGATCATTTACATCCGTTTCCAAGCCGCCCAAATGCTTCATTAGTCATACTTATTTATATTGTCATACCTACATCATCAAAATATATACAACAACCTTTTAGACATAAAACGAAATTAGTTACAGTATTAGAACAAATACACTTTGAAAATTAATTTTATTTTGTGTGTATTTCATTTATTTATTCAATTTATTTTAAGAATAATAGAACGTTTTTAACAAATAATAAGCCAATATTGGGCATGTCATGTAAAGTTCGTCTCTTTTGACAGCATGCTTTTAATTTTTATTTCAGTTGTATAAAATTTTTCGGTTTTATTCGTATCTATTGAGCAATTCGTGAAACTCAGTTCTTCTAAATAGTACTAGTCTTTTTTTAATATTAAAATCTGTAATTTTTTTAATATCCTTTTACAAATAGCTTTAATAGGAAACGACTTCATTGTTTAATCTTTGATATGCACAAAGCAGTTAAAATAATACTATAAATAATTAATTGGTTATGGGAGAACTGTAAACCAAGTACACGTATTATAAAAATAAATGAATAGTATAAAGGTCAGGTAGCGGGTGAGCACATTCTTAAAATTACCTCGTCCCCAAGTCGATATCTGATACATAATACCAGTAGAATAATTTCTCGCAACTGTAGAGTTGATGAAAGTGCATAACACCCGACTTACTAGATCCTCACAAAATAAACCGTTCGTACTTTCCCTTCATAAATCTTCAACAAAGGTTTAGTTTATGAGGTTTGTGGCCAACTGTTACAGCACGTTGTAAATCTTAAAATTTTGCCGAAATTTTTCATCGAAAATCTATTAAAGCTAATATCTCACTTATTTACGAAAATTCTCAAGTGCGCTTGTCGTCTATGTTTTTCGATTAGTAAATTCTAGTTACGTCCCGGATGAAATTGTTGATTATATTTACCGAAAACGAGATACAGCGAAACCAGCTTCTTCAGCACAAAAATGGTTTTTATTTAAAGAAAACGGTACCTTATTTTTTAAAATTGAACCGGTAACTTTTTAGAGAAAGTTGTGGACAGCTTATCTTTCAAATTTCAACGACATGTGTATACTAGTAATGGAGATATTACATTATGAAAATGCATTGAAAGTCCCATAAGAACTAAACGTGGGGACTGGCCTTAACATTGAACTATGTATTGTAAAACGGACTACTGCAGTTAAACCAAGGCTTATCTTTGAACCTCGCTTAAGCTTGCATTGTAAAACCGGGCCTTAATTTATAATTAAAAAAGAGTTTTCAATGCATTTTTAGTTACAAAAATATGTTGAAATGGGAAATCTGTACATGATTTTTTATTTTTTACGTTTCCTGCTGACATTTTCCGTTGAATACCGTACGATTTATGCCCCCCCGGTAGGGTTGCGGGGTGCGTGGGTAATTAGCATGAACGTGAATAAAAACCCACGTGTTGGTGTTTTGTGTTATTGTCTCTTTCATAGGTACAAGTGAGTGAAAAATGAATCCCGAGTATGATATCGTCATGTTTCTTCTTGAAACGCCGTTTTCACGACGAACCGAGCTAGAACGTCGGCAAATTTTGTTAAATATCGAGCAGTCAAAACCGTTAATTCATTTAACTTCCATTGATAAGCGACAGAATCGTTAGTACTCCAAGTCTTTTAAATCAACTTGGTACCTACGAAACATATAAATGGCTCTGCCGTAATATTTACACAACATCCCGGGATATAACGATTTAAAGAATTTCATCCGACGTGCAAAGTTACATGAAAGTTCCAAAGTACACATTAAAAATTTCATGGGCTTAAAACATTTAGAAAAGAACACAACAACTATTCCCGAATCCCTCCAAGAAAGTGCTACTTTCAACAAAATTTTGACTTGTAGAAACATTGTTGATTCAATGTGTTATGGGTGTTATTATTATTATTATTATTATTAGGACCTACCACTGACCCGGGAATGACCGGTATTCAGACAAGACTTCTATCATTACTAGCTAGTAAGACCAAGTAATATTACTATTATTGTCAAACTTCTATCATCGCCTCACTACATCAGACAGTCACGAGCCGCCACTGATGTACCCTCAGAAGTCCTGGACCAAAGTTTGGAAGCTATCAATTAAGTGGTGCCAGCAAAATCCAAGCATTCGTATGAAAAAGAATATACGAATTTTTGTGAGTGAAGGAAGCAAAGTCATGCGAAAGGAGTAGACGAAAGAATAATTTTGGCTTATATTTCGGAATGGTCTAAAAATGCAAAATCTTCGTCAGGATGGTAGTATTGTTCCCAACTGAAGAAAATGTTATCCCTGAAAGAAAATATTGATATAAGCAGGTTTGTGTCATCGCAATGATTATTATTTATGAGCTTTTAAACAATGCATTGTTATTGTCAAGCGTCGGCTTTCCTAAAACAACAGTCTGTAGAGCACAGACCAAAGAAATCCAAGCTGTTCACACTCGAAGAAATGGAGAGGTTCTTAGATACTGCTTCTAATGATAAATATTTACTGCAAAAAGTAATGTTTATCGTGGGAGTTGGTGAATTGGTAGCCAAAGAATACACGGCTCATAGTTTTAGGCGTTCGAGTGCAACTCTACCAGCAGACTCTGGGGTAGCTTTAACAGTTGCAAAGTGACACGGTGGCTGGCGTTCGAATAGTGTTGTGGAAGAATACATAGAGGATGCTCTGAACATAAAATCGAAATTTCGAGAAGAATCATCAAGCAATCATCAACAATCATTAATGATACATCTGCCTTGAATTGTAACTTTTATATTTTACACTACAAAGGCAAAAACTAATTAAATGTTAATGTTTGTAGAACAAATAAAAATCTGTTCTTTGAAATTTTTTAATTCACTAAACGCTTTGATTTCACTAGTGAATCATGAACTCCTTACTATAGAGTGAATAATAACTATTTAACGAATAAATTTATTAATACAGGCGATTAATAATTCAGTTAGTTACAATAGTTTTCCTGCGATCGTAATTTTATTAAATTACTGAAAATTCAAAATGTGAGTTATGCAACCAAACATACAAGTAAAATTTGTTATTAATAAACATTATTAGTTCACTAAATTTGATCTCCAAATCATGATTGCCTAAAATCATGCATTAATAACCTTCTTGCTCTCTTGATTTTCTAATAAGAAGAGCTTTGATATGTTAAATACACTAAGCCCTCTTTTCGAGTTCTCTTCCTGTATGAATTAGTTCGATTTGGGTTTTCGCAAAGTGAAATTCAAAATTGCAAACGTGTTTTAAAAATTATTTATCATCTAGTCATTTTAAAACGAGATTTATCCATTACTGAAAATTTTAATAGTTAAGAAATGGGTAGGTTTTTCGATAATTGCCAACACCGCCGCGAATTCTCCCATATAAAACGCATTGTCAAGTAAAACCAGAATGGACTTTAGCTTCTCAAAGTCTGGTCCAGCCCCGAGAAAACCAACTTACCGTATCGTATTGAAGGTGAGGTGTTCGTGTTCGGTATCCGGAAAGGTACAGTCGCTATACTAATCGAGAAATTGACTTGGACAACGTCTACGTCTTTATCACTGTCTAGACTTACCTACAACTCGCAAGAGTTACACAGAAACCAACACGTCCGCCATACGTACTGAAAGCTCATAATAGATTTGTACTAATCTACAAATTCCAACAAGTGTTGTAGGCATCGGGGGTAAAACAAGGCTATTGGAACTGTCCCATTTGCTGCGAGAGTGCGGCTTGACGTTGCTCCCTCTGCAACCAAACGTCACCCAGTCGTCGAAACCCGACTTCGGAATACCTGTATTCGAAAACAAGGTGCTTCAGGTCCTTGTTCACGCCCAGGACTCCTTGATCGATGAAGAACTCGCAACACTTTTCCAGCTGGACTCGCAGTTTTACTTCGTCTTCACTTTGATTGTCGATTGTCGCTTTTAGCTTTACGCCGAGCGTTCGAGAACACAGCGGAGACTGACGGTGTCTTTTTTGCAGCACCAGTCGTAGACGACTGGTTTTTGGTAAATTGGCGGGTTATTGAGTCTTCGCTATTTGTGGACGTGGGTCTGGGTTGTTGATAAGGGACGAATTTGGAAAGGTTGTCGATGTTTCGAGTTTTTCATTAAGCCTTCTTCAGTTATAATATGAATCAACGATTTGTACAGTTTGTGCAAAAATATACTACGTGTTGGACGTAAAAGCTTTGAAAACACCGTTTTTCGCGGAAATTTACAATTCCGAAAAATTAAATTTTAGATCGAAGCTGACAAACGTACCAAAAGTCACTTACCTGTTCAGCCTCCCGGATATCCCGGGTTAAAGGTTTTGTAGACCGCCTGCACAATTAAGAACCACGTGTCCAATTTCGCGCCAACACTGCACGAATAACGTCATAGAAGATGGCAACTGCGTTCACCTAACGCCCACTTTCGCGATCTAACCTCTAGGAGGGTTTCTCGTAAACAACATTAACAATGCCAAGCCCTAGTACTGGAGTTTTAAATAAAGTGACGTAATAGAATATCGACTTTGACTCTAGATTCGTAGAGATTCTTATTTTTGGAACGTATATGTTAAAAGCTTGCTAGGACTCTCTTGAAAAATAGTATTTTAGGAGCAGCTTTAAAAATATGACACCACAAA